GATTAGAGCACCTGTAGCTCCGCACAGGTAGCTTTTATGTACAGCAAAAACTATAAGGCCTAGAAAGAAAAGCGACACACCGTTGGAAAGAGCATAAAAAATGATCGAACCCGTCTATCGGGATTTCTCTGGTAAATTGATCAATAAGGGACAGGAAGGCCCGGTAAGAAATAATATTGAATAAAATAAAGATAAATAAAATTCCGATTAAATCCGACTAGACCATCATAATGTGCTTCAAAAGGAGATAAGTTTAGCATTTTAAACTTTTAAGATATCTTGAGAAATAACTAATCTAGGGCAAATCAAAATCCTTAAGTTTTACAGATTCATCAAAATTCTTACAAATTTTTAAGTTATCTAGCTCACGTATATATGGAGATATTTATAAAATTCCAAATTCAAATGTTATTCATTTTTTGAGTAGATCTTAATGACCTAATCAGATCTTGACTTTAAAATAATTTTTGCAAAATCATGACCTACAGGGCCTCCCTGTCCCTTATTGATCAATTTGCCAGGGAAATCCTGATAGACGGGTTCGATCATTTTTATGCTCTTTCCAACGATATGTCGCTTGACTTTCTAGGACTTATAGTTTTTCCTGTACAATAAAGCTACCTGTGCAAAGCTACCGGTGCTCCAATCCAATAGTCTCTTCGGGAGAATACATATGAGTAAAAACCATAGTTAAGGTTTAAAAATATATTCAATATCTCTATCCATTGCTGAATAAATTGTACCTCGCAAAACTTTGTGCGATACCTAATATTTTAATCAAAACTTATTTAAAATCAGTAAATGGAAGAAAACATTGTACTACTGGTCAGAAAGGAATATCCCTGGTCCAAAACCGATCCCAATATTTGGCAACTATTTGAACTTCTTTTTCAAAGATTTGCCTCATTTGGAGTTAGAGTGGTATCACAAATACGGACGACTTTATGGGTAATTATTTGGACAAATAGAGCCTTATAATTGTTATGATTTAATGAACAGAACCTTTGCGGGTGAGAAACGTGAGCTAATGGTGTCGGACCCGGAGATCATTAAACAACTTCTGGTCAGAGATTTCTATTCGATACCAAACAGGAGAGACATTGGGACCCGACTTAAGGTATTCATGTCTGTTATGTTTCTGTCGAGGGATGAGAACTGGAAGCGCATCCGAGCCATTGCCAGCTCTTCGTTCACATCCAGCAAAATAAAGCAAACGATTGGTCTCATCAACGAGTGCTGCACTGATTTCATCAAACATTTGGGCAAAATGGCTGACAATAAGAGCGAAATTGATTTGAAACTCATGACCAGTGCCTACACCATGGATGTGATCGCCAGATGCGCCTTCACTTCCAAGACAAACACATACGAAGACCCGATCCTCGAGGCCAGTGATGTCACTGAAGCGCATCATATGGTCGAAGGCAACGACGAAACGAAGGCCAGTATTAAAGCCTTCAGTAATGTGGTCGAGAAGAAGTTGACTGAGGATGAGATCGTCGGCCAGTGCTTCCAGTTCTTCACGGCTGGCTTCGAGACAACGGCCAATACTCTGGCGTATTGTATGTATGAGTTGGCAATCAATCCGACACTTCAGGACAGACTCCGCGACGAAACGAAAGCCGCGTTCAATGAAAAGCGAGAAATCAATTGCGAGGTATTATCGAGACTGCCGTTCATTGACGCTCTCGTATCGGAAACATTGCGCTGTTATCCGCCGTTACTCCGATTGGAAAGGGATGTCAATCAAGACATAGTGTTGGATAAAAATGGCCTTAAGATTGAGAAGGGAGTGATTGTTCAGATCCCCTTATATGCTATTCATCACGACCCGGATAACTATTCGGATCCCTATTACTTCAATCCGGACAGATTTATGCCCGAAAATCGTCATAACATCAAACCCTATACTTACCTCCCATTTGGTGTCGGCCCTCGAAATTGCATTGGAATGCGATTTGGATTATTGGAAATGAAGTTAATTTTGGCAAAGATTTCGCAACAATTTGTGCTCAAAAGAGTTGCCTCGACTACAATTCCGGTCAACTTTGTTAAGGGACGACCTGTACTACTGTCCAAACCTGTAATGGTTGGCATTGAAAGACGTTAAAAGTTGCTGACATTTATTAAACTAATTTATTCAGTTTTTAATTTAATTCAGATTTTATTTGATCAGTAAAATTTGTGATAATAAGTGATCTATTATTTGTATGAAGTTATTCAAGAATATAGTGAATAGTTTACAGTTAACGTAGAAATAAATATTGATTACTGTATTAATGTTATGCTACAAGGTTTCTATGTAATTCTACAAAAGGGTGCAGTTTAGTACAAATTTCAAACTGTTTATGTTATGAGATAAAGTAATATTTGATAATTTTAATTTAATTATAAGTCGATTATAGTACTCTTGTAAAATTATATTATATTATATTAGTTTTTATGATTATTTAAATGAATAAAACATGTAAACCTGTTTGTTGTCTAAAATAACATTTGTCATAATTATTGTAAAATGTTGTATATTTTTAATATACCTGTAAAATTAATTAACGATAATTATTCTGTAAATTCATAACGAATGCACTGAACTCAAGATATCTAAGTTTTGATAAAAAATATAACTTAATAGATTAGTAGTTTGAATTTGTTTAACCCTGATAGGTTTATGCCTGAGAATAGACATAATATCAAACCCTACACATACCTACCCTTCGGTGCGGGTCCTCGAAGTTGCATTGGTATGAGGTTTGCATTACTCGAAGCCAAGTTAGCTTTGGCTCATATTATCAGAAGATTTAATTTTATTAAAATCCAGAATACAGACGTTCCCCTCCAATACAAAAGGGCATATCGTATAACAACTCCTAAAAGAGTTATTATTGGTATTGAATTAAGAAATTGATTCAATACTTACAGTACTTTGATCAATAATAAGTAATAACTGACATTTATTAAACTTATTTATTCAGTTTTTAATTTAATTATAAGTCGATTATAGTACTCTTGTAAAATTATATTATATTATATTATATTTTACGATTATTTAGATGAATAAAACATGTAAACCTGTTTGTTTTCTAAAATAACATTTATCATAATTATTGTAAAATGTTGTATATTTTTAATATACCTGTAAAATTAATTAACGATAATTATTCTGTAAATTCATAACGAATGCACTGAACTCAAGATATCTAAGTTTTGATAAAAATATAACTTAATAGATTAGTAGTTTGTATTTGTTTTTGTAGAATTTCAGCTAATGTTGAAAACAGAAAAATATAGTTATTATTAAAAATTTTCAGACATTTCACTATAATCGCTTATTAACCAACTCTAATTGTACTCAAACTTGGAGACTCATATAAATATAAGTTGGTGATTCTTGCTTTCAGTATTAGATTCTTTTAAGTTTGTAATTTATTTATAACTATTGCTTTTAGTAGGGAAAAATTAAATTTAAAAGTTAATAATTTTATTATTATATAACTTTGAGATGGATTTAATTCACTCATCAATAATCTTTGCCTTATTATCAATTGGACCTGCTATTTATTGGTAATTGGGTGAAAAATTAATAATAATTAATAAAATAAATTAACGTAATATTGTATAAACAGGTATTTATCCAGAGGGTTTTCCTATTGGTCTAAAAAGGGGATCAAAGGTCCTAGACCAATTCCAATTTTTGGTAATCTATTGGACTTTTTCATAATACCTCAACCCTTGCAAGAACTCAAATGGTTTAAAAAATATGGAAAAATTTATGGGTATTTATGTTTAGATGTTATTGACTTTGCAAGCAATATCATATGTACTAACTTTAAACTAATATTATATGGAACAGTCATTACCTTGGTAAAACTCCAGTTTTGAACATAAGTGATCCGGAATTGATTAAACAAATCATGGTAAAAGACTTCCATCTATTCCCGAATCGAACCAATTTCGGTCGAAGTAGTGATGCGATTCTGAGCAGAACTTTGGTTCAATTGACTGGCGATGACTGGAAGAGAGTCCGATCCATAGTTACCCCGACATTCACTTCCGGAAAGATGAAGAAAATGTATCCAAGAATTAGGGAGTGTTTGACAGACTTTATGAACCATTTGGAGGGCTTTGCCGCTAAGAAAGAAGAGGTGAACGTAAAGGACTTGTACGGGAACTACACTATGGATGTGATCGCCACGTGTGCCTTCGCCACCAAAACTGATGTCCATAAAGCACTGGATAACCCATTTGTAGTAAACGCGAGGATTACGTTCAATCAAAACCCTCTTAGAAGAATAGCCCAAATGATGTTACCAGGGTTTGTACAAAGAAGGTTAGGGTTGTCCGCACCAACCACCAGAGACTTCTTCTTGGGATCCATTCGTCAGATCCTCTCAAATAGACGACAAAATCAGAATCAGAAATACAATGATTTCTTACAACTGCTTATTGATGTGGAAAAATCAAATGACATCACAAGAGATGAGAATGATATCAATGAATCACATCATGTGAATGAAGGTATAGATAAACACTTTATCTGAAAATTAATAAACTTTTAAATAAATCTATAATTAAATTCATAATTGATTGAAAAGGTGAGGAAGAGTTGGCGGTTGAAAGAAAAGCATTGAATATAAATGTTGTGAATAAGCACTTGACTGAGAATGAGATCCTCGCACAGGCTATGATTTTCCTTTTGGCCGGGTATGAGACGACGGGAACATTGCTTTCATTTTGTACGTATGAATTGGCACTCAATCCTCACGTCCAGGAAATACTAAACAAAGAAGTAAACTCTGCCATCGATTCCAACGGAGAGATTGATTATGATTTGTTGTCAAGACTTCCGTATTTGGATTCAGTCATCTCAGAAACATTGAGACTCCACTCCCCGGCCCAACGTTTGTCNGGTCAGTTTAAAGAAGAATTGACAGGAAGTCTCTTCAATCGCGTGCTTCATATTTATTAATTTCATCACAAATTTAGGTAACATTATAGACAACACAAGTCTATATGACTTTGGATTGAAGGCTTTGTGAGCATTCTTAATGAACGGACTGTTGGGGTCTTTATATGGGTTAGTTTTGGTGCCGAAAGCACAGGTAGATATGACATCCATTGTTAGGTTTCCGTACATTAATTTCATGTCCACCTCCTTCTTATCGTTGGCATACATTTCCAACGCATTCAACAACTCATTCAAACACTGCCTAATCATTGGAAACATTTTCTTCATTCTGCCGGACGAGAAGGTGGGGCTCACTATAGATCGGATACGTTTCCATTGGTTCCCATTAGTGGCCACCAGATTGTTCACCAAAATCGGGTGTGCCTTCGACTCCAAGATTGCATTTGATGACCGGTAGTCAAACACGTGAAAGTCCTTCACTAATATATTTTTGATGAGTTCCGGTTCACCCACTGTTAGGATTGGTGTATTTCCGTCGAAAGTACTATTAAATTATAAAAGTTTTAAATATACAACTTTATCAAATTTATTAATTAATTATGTTATCAAATTGTACCCGTAAATTTTGCCATATTTATGAATCCAATCCAACTCTATATATGATTTCTCTCGAAAGAATTGGTATAAAACGGTACCAAAACCTATGATGGGTTTTGGGCCTTTCACTCCTAATTTGTTCCAATAGTTATGATTTCGGGTTAAATACCTATGAAATTCAACTCTATATATGATTTCTCTCGAAAGAATTGGTATAAAACGGTACCAAAACCTATGATGGGTTTTGGGCCTTTCACTCCTAATTTGTTCCAATAGTTATGATTTCGGGTTAAATACCTATGAAATTAACAATATTTTCATTTATGTTTAATCAACACATTTTTTAACAATACCCACCAATATATTAATGGAATCGTAGATAATATTGTATAAAAGGGCCACGAGTTTAGTAATATTTCCATTTTATATTAGCTTGCTTAAAACTCTTTAAATGGAATAAATATGACTTTCTTTGCCAAACGAGAGTAATTTCACTTCAATTTATACCATAATTCAAAATAATTCAAATTGTATTTGTTTATTATAAATTATATGTTCATCTATTTTGATTATTGGGTGCTCAGGTTCTTTTGAATAATTTATAAATAATCATTTGAGTTAACATTGGATATGATGTCTGTAATAAGGTTATTAGAACTAAATAGTATTAGATTAGACTGCATGTAATCTAGAAGTTCTATTCAGTAATGTCAAAATTATTGATTATGTAATTCTGTACTCAATTTGATTAGACATTTATCAAGGCTTATTAATTCACATTTATCAAACTTCTTTGTATTTATGAGATTTATGTTCAATTAAATCACTGAATTAGTTGATATATTATAGACATACAATCATACAATGATAATCAATGACATACAATTAAAATATAATTAACCTATAAATTGGATAACCATTTAATGATTGCTTTTAACTTTAAATCAAATGTAATAATATCAACCTTATAATTTAGTACAGTATTTAGCATTATTTATATAAATTTAATTAATATTTACAGTAACTATTTGTTACAATATTAGAATATTAAAGAGAGAATATTTTTCTTAATATTTAAAGATACAATTTATTTATTAAAGAATTTCTCATTTTACAATTAAATTGTTACTATTTTACTACAATATATCACTTAAATAATATTATTATATTAAACACGTTTCTCAATTCCGACAATTAGTCTTTGAGGGGCCGTTAATCCGAAAGATCTTTTATACCGCAGAGGAATGTCTGTCCGAGTCGTTGGGAAAAATTTAAATTTCCTGATAATGTTAGCCAAAGCTAACTTGGCTTCGAGTAATGCAAACCTCATACCAATGCAATTGCGAGGGCCGGCACCGAAGGGTAAGTAAGTATACGGTGTAATTTTATGTCTATTCTCAGGCATAAACCTATCAGGGTTAAACTGGAATGGTTTCCCCATCAAGAGAAGCCTGCATACCTACCGTATTTACCCTTTTAGTTAAACGACAGGACCCACGTTACACTAGGGTCACAACGGATTAAACATCAGTCATCACCTTTCCGCACTGTTTGCAACCCGGCGGGAGTGGAGTCTCAATGTTTCTGAGATGACTGAATCCAAATACGGAAGTCTTGACAACAAATCATAATCAATCTCTCCGTTGGAATCGATGGCAGAGTTTACTTCTTTGTTGACAAACGTTGGGCCGGGGAGTGGAGTCTCAATGTTTCTGAGATGACTGAATCCAAATACGGAAGTCTTGACAACAAATCGTAATCAATCTCTCCGTTGGAATCGATGGCAGAGTTTACTTCTTTGTGTAGTATTTCCTGGACGTGAGGATTGAGTGCCAATTCATACGTACAAAATGAAAGCAATGTTCCCGTCGTCTCATACCCGGCCAAAAGGAAAACCATAGCCTGTGCGAGGATCTCATTCTCAGTCAAGTGCTTATTCACAACATTTATATTCAGGGCCTTCCTCTCGACCGCCAACTCTTCCTCACCTTTAAATCAATTATGAATTCAATTATAGATTTATTTAAAAGTTTATCAATTTTCAGATAAAGTGTTTATCTATACCTTCGTTCACATGATGTGATTCATTGATATCATTCTCATCTCTTGTGATGTCATTTGTTTTTTCCACATCAATAAGCAGTTGTAAGAAATCATTGTATTTCTGATTCTGATTTTGTCGTCTATTTGAGAGGATCTGACGAATGGTTACAAAGAAGAAGTCTTCTTTGGTTGATGTGAACAACCCTAACCCACTTTGTACAAACCCTGGTAACATCATTTGGGCTATTCTTTTAACAGGGCTTTGATTGAACGCCATCTTCGCGTTTACTATAAATGGGTTATCGAGTGCTTTATAGACATCAGTTTTGGTGGCGAAGGCACACGTGGCGATCACATCCATAGTGTAGTTCCCGTACAAGTCCTTTACGTTGACCTCTTCTTTCTTAGCGGCAAAGCCCTTCAAATGGTTCATAAAGTCTGTCAAACACTCCTTAATCATTGGATACATTTTCTTCATCTTTCCGGAAGTGAATGTCGGGCTAACTATGGATCGGACTCTCTTCCAGTCATCGCCAGTCAATGAAACCAAAAATCTACTCCTAATCGGATCATCACTTCGACCAAATTTGGATCGATCCGGGAATAGATGGAAGTCTTTCACCAGAATTTGTTTAATCAATTCCGGATCACTTACGTTCAAAATTGGAGTTTTACCAAGGTAATGACTGTTCCATATAATATTAGTTTAAAGTTTAGTACATATAATATTTCTTGCAAAGTCAATAACATCTAAACAAACATAAATACCCATAAATTTTTCCATATTTTTTAAACCATTTGAGTTCTTGCAAGGGTTGAGGTATTATGAAAAAGTCCAATAGATTACCAAAAA